CTTGGGGCTGGACAGTCCCACGCTCCACTCAAAACCACAACACACCTCACCTCTTTACTAAGTCAGAGGCCTCCCGAGGCCCAGAGTCCTTCTGCTGGGGAAGCCCGGAGCGTACGGCCAGAGGCTTGAGGACGCTCCTGGAGGTCCAGCACCACTGTCACGAGGTCAGGACTGAGATACCAGGCTCCCTCCAACACAGCGGCTGCAAGCCGTCAGTCTCAAACCGACCCGTCTTTCTAGTCCTGTGACTAAATATGAGCAGCTTTTCCCCCAGTCGTTCCTCCCCTGCCTGGCGGAGGTCGGTCTTCATTGCGATTTGCTATATGATCCCACGCAACTGAATGCCTCTACTTGATCATGTGACAAGGCTAGGACTGTATTGACCAAATCAAAGGACAGAAGAGTCCTACTCCAACACTTTTCAGCAAGAGGCGAAAAGGCAGCCGTACTGTTCTCTACGGTGAACTTCAATGCACAGACACGAGTCCACAGGTTGCCCACCTGGCTCCTGGTCCCTGAACTCAGGCCCCGACTCTGGGTGGGGACTGGGGGGTAGCAGACAGGAAAAGCCACAAGCCAGAGGAAGGGCATGCACTCACCACAGCCTCGGTCAGCACGACTTGCCCAGCCACAGGCTGGCAGGACACGGCAGGACACGTTCAGCTCTCAGCCCTTATCGGTGTGGCCACAAGAGGTTTGCAGGGGCAGTTTAAGCTTAGGTCTGGCATTCATCAAGTAATGACTTGGTATTAGTGCCTTCTTTTATATATACATATATAACGTATATCTTATATGTAACATTGTTTACATAGTTGAGAGGGACGCATGCCCCTGTGGGACTCCAGTTGGGGTGAGGAGGGTCAAGGTACGGAGGAAGTGGGTGGGACAAATGCTTCAGCTCTCTTTTCTTTTATCTCCTGTGGCTGCTGCGGGGGAAGGGGTCAGGGGGACGAGAAGGGGCTGCTCTTTGGGGTCAATCCACATTAGTCCCGGGGCATGGGGAAAGGTCTAGAGACTCTGAGGTAGAACATTCCAAGGGTGTTACTTGAGTGGTTTTGATAGTTCTGAGACATTGTCAGCTTCACCGGACCAGCAGGGTTGAGAAAATCTTTCCAAAGTCTGTTGACTGATCACCAAGTCCACCTTGGTGCATCCACAGACCCAGACACTTGCTGGAAGCTTGGCCAGGAGAGCTGTCCAACCTGTTCTGCCTTCTGTCCTCTGCCGGCCTAGATGAGCTGTTCTGGCCATTTGGGGAGTAAACCATCGGATGGAAGCTATCTCTCTCTCTCTCTCTCTCTCTGTAAATCTACCTTTTCAATAAAAAAAAAATAAATTTAGGGGGCGGGGGGAAGGTCACTTGTGGGATGACTTAGATGAGAGATCTCTCTCCCCCCTTAAAAATAAATAAGTATATAAAGAATTGAGGGGGGGCCCGGCGCGGTGGCGCAGTGGTTAAGGTCCTCACCTTGCATGCCCGGGATCCCATATGGGTGCCGGTTCTAATCCCAGCAGCCCCGCTTCCCATCCAGCTCCCTGCCTGTGGCCTGGGAAAGCAGTCGAGAGCGGCCCAAAGCTTTGGGACCCTGCACCCGCGTGGGAGACCCGCAAGAGGCTCCTGGCTTCGGACCGGAATAGCATCGACCGTCACGCTCACTTGGGGAGTGAATCATCGGACGGAAGATCTTCCTCCCTGTCTCTCCTCTCTGTATATCTGCCTTTCCAATGAAAAAATAATAAAAATAAATCTTTAAAAAAAAAAAAAAGACAGCATGGAACAAAATTTTAAAAAAAAAGCAAAAAAAGAAGTGGGACAACCAGTGGATTTTTTTTGAGACTATTTAATTTTGCTTTTTATGATGTTTACATAGTTAGTTAGGGTGGAAAGGGTCAAGAATTAGGGGAAAGTGAGTGAGTTCATTGTTTCCAATTTTTATTTCTTTTTTCCTGTAAACTGGGGAAAAATAAGGAGAGAAACCGCACCCAGACTCCCAACTACCTCAGTACCTCTTTTTTAAAGACTTAAAATTAGGCAATTTACACAGAGAAGCGGCCGCAATGCCTGGAGCTGAGCTGATCCAAAGCCAGGAGCCAGGAGCTTCTTCTGGATCTCCCAGAATGCAATTTCCCAAGGCTTTGGGCCGTCCTCTACTTATTTCCCAGGTCACAATCAGGGAGCTGCATAGGAAGTAGAGCAGCCAGGATAGGAACCAGTACTTATATGGGATCCTGGCACATGCAAGCCAAAGACTGTAGCCACTAGGCTACCGTGCTGGGCCCAGTATCACACCACATACCATTGCACCCCTTGAATTTGAAATATATCTTCTAACATATTGGGGGAGAAAAAGGCTTAGTTGGCATTTTAGCAAGGCGTGGGCAGAGTCTACAGACATTCTGTGCACACCCTACAGGGAAGGGTCCATCCAGTGACCCTCCCAGCTCTCACCTCCTACTGCTTGTTCCTGTGGCAACTGCCCCGGCCTCCCCGGGCAGTAGACCCAAGGTCTCCGGAGTGCTAAACCCTGAACGGCCAGCTGCACATCAGGTGTAGGGACATGAAGGCACACAGCACCCCGGGACACGAACTTGCCAGTCTGAATACAATCCTGAAATCCCCCCCCCCCCCCCCAGCCTATGCACCTGCTGGGCAGGATTTCCAAACTCTGGTCCTTCTCAGGCACCTGCCGGCCTGCTCCCCTCGTCGCCGGGCACCTGCATGTCTGGCTCTCTGCAGGCAGGGAAGGAGAGCCCACTGACTGCCCCGTAGGCTTCCGAGGGCCCCAAATGCCCCATGCCGTAACTGCCCACACCCTCAGCTGACAGCCAGGCTGCCATGGCCAAGTCATCAAGCCCTGACTGCCTGCATCACACAGGAAACCAGTCACGTGGCAGTCACGTGAGCTGACTCCTCCCATCTTTGGGAACACTGACAATGAAGGGTTTTTTTTTTTTGGTCTTATCTTTTTAGTTTGCTTATGCAATGAAGACTCCCCCCTCTCTCCACCGTGTTACTCTTCAGTCTTAAAGTTCCACATGACAAATTCCCGGTTGAGTTCCATTCCAGGAAAAAGTTTGCTCTGGGAATTAATTTGTATGCTTTCTGTTGTCCAAACTCCAAAACGATGCAATCTAATGTGTTTTTGTTTGCCCCTAAGCTGCCAGAAAACTTGGAGCCAAATGCATGGTCCAAGTGTCGTCATCGGCTCCATTCGGGCCATTCAGAATGTCTATTTCTTCGGCTTTGCTTTCTCCAGGGTGCTTCCATAGCTGGATTCAGCCTGAGTCACCTCACCCTGTGCCCAAGCTCGTCACCGGGGCCTATCTCCTGACCGCCAGAACACTTCCGTCCCCTGCAGCCTGCCTACTGCTGCCATCATCCCACCCACCAGTGATGCGGGGTGGGTGTGGGGTGCTGCACAGCCTTGGCTGTGTGCGCCAACGCTCTAGCCAACAAGCAGAGGGGCTTCCTAAGAACCAGGCCAAGCCTACCTACCCCTCCTGCCCCCAGGAGCTCCCCCTGCTCACACATTCTTGCTTCCCTCCGCCAGTGCAGCCTCACCTCTACACACACACCCTTCTGCAGCCTGCAACCGCTACGAACTCTCCCCACCCTTGCCTCTCCCGGCTCTCCTGGTCACTTGGCCGGCAGGAAACAACCTCTTGCCTGCTTTGTGTTCTTGTTGAAGAGGTCTCCGGGGTTCAGGCGTAGGTCTCCTGCAGTTGGGAGACCTGCCGCCCCCCATTTCTTACCCCCATTGCACACTAAGGTGCCTTAGCTCTATGGCATGTTACATTCACAATCAGGCCCACCAGGCCTGGCTTTCATTTCACCTTGCATCATGCTGTTAGGATGGAGAGTTCCTGGAACAGGGCTGTGCACCTGTGTGTATACACGGCACTGGCAGGCTTCAAACCATCGACCAGCAGGCCAGTCCCTTCTGTCAGCCCTCCCTCTGCCTTTCTTAAAAAACACTTTGTTGGTCCCTGACTTCACCTCTGATTTCTGCGCCCCGCCCCCCCCCCCCCCAGCTGCCCAACCTCAAAGACTCTGAGCTGCACTCCGGGTATATCTGCTGTTTTAGGGATATGAGGAGCAGGTAGGAACCAGACAAAGTGAGAGTAATGACAAGCTTACTGGAGATGGTCCTCTGCCACCCTCGTCACCACTTACCCCTCTACCACCCCATGGCGGGGGCAGTCACATCCCTAAGGCATCTGGACACTGTCTAGCCCCAAGTCAGCCTGTGACAACCCTAGCACCAGCTGCAACTCCACCGCCCCAATCCCTTCCGCCCCTTGGCGGTGGGGGTCGCCCGCTTCCTGTCCCCGCCCCTCAGGACAAGATTCCTCCCTGGGATCTGGCTGTACTCCGTGGCCTGAATCCAGTTCTCTGGAACGCCCCCTAAATGTGATTATATCCTGTGCAGAAAAGAGAGTTCCCCTGGGTTCTCTATGCTCCCAACTCGGTCCTTGGGAGAAAACTGGAAGAAACAAGATCATTCAATTACCCTGCACAGCCGAGATTGCAAGTTCTGCCCGCATTAGCAATGGGGGGCAGGGGTCCGGGTGTTCAAAGGCCACTCACACCCCACAGCCAACACACGCACGCGCAACATCCACGCCCCTGGGGACTCCACGCGCGTAGAATGGGGCCGTGCTCCATGCCTGCAGGTTCCCCAGGCGCGGGTGAAGGCTTCGCGCCTCAGCCCTAGAAGCTCCCCTGCCCCGGCAGCGAAGGAGGTCGCGCTCCCATTGCGCTCGGGTGCGGCGAGCCGAGCAGCAGCGCCCGACTGGACGGCGCTCCAGGGTCCCCAAGGCCGCGCGCGGGGAACCCAGTCTCCGGTCTGCAGAGCCACTTCCCTCCGATCCGCGCCCAGACAGTTTCAGCCGCTTCAACCGCTTCCTCTCCGCCCGCCCCAAGCGTCTCCTTCCCCAACTGCCTGCCCACTCCTGCTCGTTTCCCCCCACCCAGCCCGTAGCTCCGGGCCCGGCCTTACCTCTCCGCGGGCGGCGGCTTCGCGGGCTCCGGGGCGCATCTCGGGGGCGCCCGCGCGCGCCGGGGCGTCGGGCGGCGGCGGGGGCCGGGGGCGCCATGGCCCGCCGCCCTTCGCGCCTTTGTCCGCCGGGCCTGGCCCGGCTGCCGGCGAGCCCTGGGGTCCCCGCGGCGCGCGCGCTCCCGTCGGGTGCCCGCCGCCTCCCCTCCCGGCCAGCGGAGCGCACGCTCGCCGGGCGGCGCGTCCTCCTCCCCTCGCGGTGGCCGCCGTCTGCGTGACGCGCGCCCCCTCCTCCCGACCCATCGCGCCGGCTCCAGTGAGCTAATCCGCAGCTGGCGGGCGCCCGGCCGGTTGCCACGGCAACCTCTCTCCCAGGGCCCGGCCTCGAGCCGAGCGCGGTAAACAGGACCTTCTGCCGGACTCGCCCCTTGCCTGTTGGGGTTGGTGGGGGGGTGGTGGTAGGAATGGAGAGATTTGGGGAGGGGGCGGGGCAGATGGTGGTTTAACCCTTTCTGTGCTCGAGACAGACCACCGTGTACTATCCCACAGCACACCTGGCACATCGTGTGGGCTTGGCCCAGAACTGAGACCTGGACGGAAGGGGCTGCTTGTCCTTGCCCTGGCTCTAACTCCAAGCAGTTGACACGTTATGGGATGGGGCTGGGACCTGGGGCACCCCAGACAGAATCTGGCAAGGCCCTTACCCTAAGCAGCTTGCAGTGTGGCAGGGTAATGACAGGCAGTATAAGTGTTGAAGTCTGGGAAGGGGGTGGGGAGGGGAGAGAGCCGGGACAGCGGAGGGGAGTGACTTTATAATGTCCCCAGCCTCCACCTGCGTGGCACACCCAGTCCGGGAATACACTTGCAGGCTTCAGTTCTGTCTGGAAGGGGGTCGGGAATATGGGTCCTGGCTTTGCAGGACGTTGGTGGAACTGTGCTTTTGGGAAGCTGTTGAGTTGATCTGGGCAGGTGCAGGCAGAGTGCGGGAGAGAGGAGGGGACTGCTCAGTGTGGAGGGAGGGGTCTCTCGGAGGTGAGACCCAGCGGACGTGCAGAACAGCTGACCACTGGGGGCATTGGGGCACATAGCCACAGCGTAGAGCTTGAATGTGGCGCTGAACACAGCGGCTTCTGAGTAGGGGGAGGCAGCAGTGACAAGGAGCAGGATCTGGTGGCCTTGCCATACAGGTGTTGGAGGAGGCTCCAGGCCAGCCTCTGCAGGAAGGAGAGGCGCTCTTGTGTGCAGCTCAGAGCCCTCCAGGAGGGTGGAGCTCTGTGTCTGAGGACAGTGGAGACTGTGCACTTAGGTGAGAGGGTGGAGAGGTGGAGAGAAAAGCTCAGGGTAGGGGCACGCGGGGTTCAAATGTCCCTAGGGACACCTGTACCGCATATAGGAATCCCACCTGGACTAACACACATCCTGAGATGTGTTGATGATGGCTCAAGCACTTAAGTCTCTGCCATGGATGTGGGAGACCCAGAGGCAATTTCAGGATCACAGCTTCAGTCTAGCACGGGCTGTTGCAAGCATTTGGGCGGTGAACCAGTGGATGGAAGATCTGTCTTTTCCCTCTCTGTTCCTGTACTTTTCAAATAAAAATACACACTAAAAAAAGAAGCTGAGGGCAAGCAGGTTAAGCAATATGGGCACTGGTTTGAGTTTTGGTTGCTCCACTTCCAGTCTTGCTCCTGGCAAATGTGCCTGAAGAAGCAGTGGAGGATGGCCCAAATCTTGGGCCTCTGCACCCACTAAGGATGAAGCTGTGACCCGTGTCAGCCACTAGGGGTCGTTTAGGGAGTGAACCAGCACACAAGATTTCTTTCTCTTGCCAGGTCCCATCCCCATTCTGTAACTCTGCCTTTCAAATAAATAAATAAGTCTTTGAGAGAGAGAGAAAGAAAGAGAGAAAAGCCAGTTCTGGGAGGGAGAACACAAATGAAAGGATCGTGTTGCATGAATGGGTTTTATCAGATCATCTGTATAGACTGAGAATGTGAGGTTGGAGGAATGGAAAAAATGTGATCATCTTAGCTGGGGATTTTGCTCATCCTCTGAGATCTGTGAGTGGGTTCTAAGACAGGGATAGCCGCAGTGCTAACCAGCTCCAGCGTCACTGTGATGATTGCGTTCAGCTCATCAGGAAGTTGCGTGCTGAGCCTGAACCCTCGGGAGGACTCCTGCGTTGCTCACCGCCTCTTTCTGTTTTTCCCTTGAATGCTGGGCATGTCAGATTGGGGAAAGGGAAGCAACGGTTTTCCTCCAACCCCTAGGAGAGCTCAACTGCCCCTCACCTTCCTCCGCTTCTAGGTCAAGGCCTCCTGTTAGGGAGCTGCCTTCATCTCAGCTGTGAGCCAGCTGGCAGGGAGCTGGACTGCGGGGCTGAAGAAGGCAGGGGCCCCATAGGAGCGAAGCCTGAGCTACAGCCTAGGGCTTCTCCCCACGGTGTCTGCTGCCTCTGAAGCCCTGTTGGAAGCTGCACATCTACTTTAATCTCGCCTTGCATCAGGTCTTCCCCACATCCCAGAGCCATGAGACCTCATGGAATGGGAAAGCTGAGCTCCGAGAGGTCATGTGTCTTAGCTGAGCGTTCACAGACCCAGACTGTTTGGGTCAACCCATGTCATGTTCATTGACTGAGGGTACCGCCACCCACTGTGGAGGCAGGTCTCTGGGTCAGGGTCTAACCAGTGAGCTCACCCCTGTGGCTCCTCCACCCCGGCAGGTACAGGCATGCAATTCCTCTGGGCATCTAGCACTCAATCCTTCCCTTTAAGTCTAGTCCCTACCCTTGGGTCACTACAATCCATTCTTCACCTCTTGGCCGGCAAGATGTCTCTTCTGTATCATTGCACCTGCCACTGCAGAGGAAAAGGTCTCCACGTGGTAGAAGATTGGCAGCATTGTTACCCTGTGTTCTGATGTGACAACAAGATAGAGCAAGGAAGGAACTTACCCTAGGGCCAAGAAGGATCTATAGCTTCACGCAACACACCCTGTGTCCTGCGGCTCTCCCGCTGGACAGCCGGTGCCTGGGAGACTCAGAAGATCAGGAGGCTCCCCACCCAGGTCTTTGCCAGACCCCACTTCTTCCTCCTCATACAAGGCTGCCCCCTCTGCCTTTCTCATTCTATCGTTGGTCCCAGCCTCAGCCCAGGCTCCCCAGTCTGCAGCCCATAACTACCCAGTTGCCTGTCTCTGAGGAAATAAAGTCAAGCCAAGCATCCACCCAAACCTGAAACCCAGGCTGGGTTTGTGCTTGGTCCCATTTACATATGCTCCAGGAGGTGTGAGCTGAGAGTGGAAGGGAAGGGGGAAGGGAAGGAGGCTGCTCAGAGGAAGGAGTGTGCAGAGTCAGCCCGAGGCCCGGGGCTGCTTCATCCTCCATGACTACCAAGGGCCACGTTTGTCCCCGCTCACCCTCTCTGAGGATGTTCAGGCACTTCTGCCTGCAGTGCTGGGATGGGAGGGCAGGCAAGTCCCGAGGCCTGCCAAGAGGGTGTCGTGGAGCAAGTGGCCTCTGTGTATCCCCGCAGACCAGGGGCGTTTGTCAGGAAACCACAGGAAGTCTCGAAGAACCTCTGAATTGGCAACTAGCACAGTAACATGACCTTCTTGTCCAAGAGCCATTTGTGCTTCACGTCCATGCTTCCCACTCATTCTGGGGGGCATTTTGTGTCCCAAGGAAAACCTTCTTGCCTGGATTAGTGTGTGAATGACAAACAGCAAAGAACAAGGCATGTGTGTCATTGTTGTTCACTGTGAGGCAAGATCTCACAGAATAAGCCAGCCATAACCTGAGCTTCCTTTCGGGTCCTGCTGGAGCATCCACTGAGGGAGCCGGGACACGGGCCATGGGGTAATCTGCATCCTCAGGGGCGTGGGCTTCTGCAGCCGTGGCTCTTGGTGCTCCCAGTGGTTGCAGCTCTCAGAGTGTTTAGCTGGGCTAGCTCTGCCACACGGCACCATGCACTCAGGATGGAAGCTCCCCACCTCTTGCTTCTGGCATCTTCCCTGCCCATTTGCTGGGGTTGGGCAGGGAGGAGGCAAGACTCCTCACCAAAAAATTGTTTCTTTAAGATCATTTATTTATTTATTTGAAAGGCAGAGTGATGGAGAGAGATAGAAGGGGGCAGGGAGACGCCTTCCATACACTGGGTTCAGCTCCCCAAATGGCCAAAACAGCCAGTGCTGGACCAGGCTACAGCCAGGAGCATCTTCCAGATCTCCCACCGGGATGGCAAGGGAACATGGACTTGGGCATCTTCTGCTGCTTTCCCGGGTGCGTTAACAGGGAGCTGGATGGGAAGTGGAAAGGCTGAGACACAAATTGGCACCTCTATGGGATGCAGGAGGTCTATGCCACAACGCTGGTCTCCATTGGAGAGTTTTATCATGGAAGGTTGGAAGCCAGGCATGGTACCCGGGGACCCCTAGCCTGCCTGATCACTTTCCCCCCCACAGAAGTCCACCCTGGTCCCATCCCAGCCGTTAGACCTCCAAATGACCATCATCCCTGCACTGCCTCTCGGAAGCCACACCTTGCTTGGGAGAATTTTTTCTAGAAAGTCTGACGACTTCCTACATTTCAAGCCAAAGCCGGGAACCTGGAACTCCAGCCAGGTCTCCCACTTGGAGCCATCTTCTGCACCATCAGTAAGGAGCTGGATGGGAAACTGGTCAGCTGGGCCTCAAACGGGCTAACAGTGCTGCAGGTAGCTGCTCCACGGACTGAGTCACAGCAAAGGTCTCAGAGTGAGAATGTAGAAAGTTGGCCAGAGGAAAACAAGAGTGTAGGGGTTGCCCTAGCTGGCAGCCTGGCTTGGGACAAGTCAGCTCCTACTACCATCTGGTGTCAGGTTTCTGGGGAAAATGAGGTTAGATGGGCCCTCAGGGCCTGCGGCTACAGAGAACCTAGAAGCCACCGGCTGTGCCTGTTCTGGCTCCACTCCTCCAACAGGTGGTGTCCGGTGGCATGGCTGCCTTACAGAGCCCACCTGGAGATCTCCTGGGCGTGGACTAGGCAGGTGAGCTGGAAGTCACAGCCCCATGGAT